TCAGATAGTTTTGAAAAACTGGACAAAAAACATTTTAAAATTTTTGAATAAAACACCCTGTAACTCAGACAGGAGATATATTTCATCTAGGTGATTTAGGTTAAATCTTCATATTTTGAGTTCGAGATGCTATGGTTGTAATATTTCCAATTAGTAATGAAACGAATATGTTATTAAATTACAAACAAAAGTTATTGTCTGAGAGACAAGAAAAGAAAATCCATATTATTCAAATAAAAGAAAGGAAAATTCAGGGATGCATGGAGAGGAGGGGAAGAAAGCTAAATAAATGTCTACTTTACAAAACAATAATTTATTGAATTTGTACAAATAAAATGTGAAATGCAAAAACAACACTCATCCGATTTCGTGTTTTATTAGAAGTAAATACGCTCAATTATAACAAAAATCAGTCAAAGGAACAGTACACACTATCGAACAAAACACCGCACACTGTAATATTATCAAAAAATGTCTCTTACACAATTATTTCACCTTCTATAACTCATCGTGCTCCTCCTGAAACATAAAAAAAAAACAGAATAAAAATCAGTAAACTCAGTAAAATCACCAACCGAATTGTGCTGATGAATTGTGAAGCAAGTTGTGGAGTGATCACGAAAATTACCATATACATTTTTATCATATACAGGGTGATCCACGGTGGATGGCCTATCAGAAGTATTCGAAATTTCGAAAATTGGGATGCTTCGATAATTGAACATTCTCTATCCGTCTAAAATATTTTCATCGATACAGTGTTGCCACTTCTATCAGAAACAACTAGCAACTTCGTTATTTTAAATAGAGCACCCTGTATTTTATTGCATTTTTAGATTCTTCCTGAAGAGCTGATTTCATCAATGTATCACACTTAGGGTCTAGCAGGAATGATTACAGAGATATAGGGTGGTCAAAATCGAGTTTTTTTCACATTAGGATTTTTTTGTGTAGAAACTATTCATTATCGATCAAAACGGCTCACATGTTCTCATCTTTACTTTCTATTCGCTATCTACTGACATTTAATTGGAACAGATACAGGGTGATCAGTATTCTGAATCTTGAAGCACCCTGTATTTTTTCCAATTGAATTCCAGTAGATAGTGAATCAAAAGTTGAAATAGGGACATGTAAGCCGTTTTGATTGATGATGGATAGTTTCGCCACAAAAAAATACTAAAAATTGAAAAATCTCGATTTTGAACACCCTATATCTCTGTAATCTTTTTCAATAGACCCCAAGTGTGATGAATCGATAAAATCAGCTCTTCAGGAAGAATCTAGAAATGCGATAAAATACAGGGTGTTCCATTTGAAATATCAATGTTGCTACTTCTTTCTAGTAGAAGCGGCAACACTGCATTGTCGAAAATATTTTAAATGGAGAGAGCGTATTCTAAAATATGAGCATGCACATTTTCATGGATTTCTCCCGACTGATTCTCGATTTAAAGATAGTGCAAGCTCGTCGTGACATACCCTGTATATTTATACAGGGTAATCCACGGTGGATGGCCCATGAAAAGTATCTGGAGGAAGAAGAGACAGAACATTCTGAAAATTGGGATGCTATGATAATTGAACATTCTCTATCTATCTGAAATATTTTTATCGATACAGTGTTGCCACTTCTATCAGAAACAACTAGCAACTTCGTTATTTCCTCGGTTATTTCAAATTGGGCACCCTGTATTTTATTGCATTTTCAGATTCTTCCTGTAGAGCTGATTTCATCGATGTATCACACTTGGGGTCTAGCAGGAATGATTACAGAGATATAGGGCGCTCAAAATCGGAGAATCTAAAAATGCGATGAAATACAGGGTGTTCCATTTGAAATATCAATGTCGCTACTACTTTCTAGTAGAAGCGGCAGCACTGCATTGTCGAAAATATTTCAAATGAAAAGAGCGTATCCTGAGATATAAGCATGCACATTTTCATGGATTTCTCGCGATTGATTCTTAGTCCAATAAATAAAGGGAAAAAGTTAACATTAATTACGCACTATTTTCATCTTCCGGTTGGAAGTAGCTTTTGGTACCTCATTAAACATGAGACAAAGTTTGACTGGAAAACGCGTGCGATGGTGGAGAAAATGGCCCCAAAAGACCAGAAAAATAGGTTTTTAGTCAATATCTCCTAAAATATGGCAGTTAGAGATTTTCGGTTCAGATAAAAATTGAAGTTCAGTTAATTTTCTACAAAAATGGTCCTTATCATTTTTCTCGAAAATTTGCCCGGTTTCGAGAAAAACGGCACGAAGCGCACCTCGGATCTCATTATCTGTTGTATGCCGGAGAGCACAGTCCGTGTATTTACACATCGGCGGGGGGACAAATTATTCAATAACTTTGTTAAAAATGCATATTTTCTCATGATTCAAAGTTCATGTGAAAGAGGAATTCTGCTGCTATCATACCCTGTGAATTGAGTCACGCTTGACTCTTTTGGCTATATCGGAACATGGGTCAAACTTTCTGCTCCCGGTCAATTTTGAACTCGCCAGGAATTTGTTCCTATTTTTTTTGTATTGCACTAATTTACTCAAAATTTTCTTGATTATGGGTCCTCATAAGGTCCTTTGTCATCCCTGAAATTTGTATACCCTAACTTTTTTTTAATTTTCATTTAATCTTTGTTTATTGAATCCAAATTTTTTTGCTGTTTTTGGAGCGCGGGGAAATTTTGTGAACAACCATCAACTAAAAATTTATACGTGATCCGATTGGTTTCTATGATACATCATTTGAAAGCTAAGAAGGTCGACTTTTCGATTGTGCAATTACTTTTATAGACGAAGTCGTCCAATTTTCAATAAAATTAGAAAAAGCGGGGTCAAGGAAAAAACGCACTTCTTTTTTCGGTGGTTTTTTTCTCCGTGCTATTTATTTCTAACATTTTAACACCTTAACTAGTGTAACGGGGGAATTCTCACCTTTCCATCGATGTATATAAGTCATACCTTTGATATCCCGGGAAAAAACCAGTGTTTCTAAATGTACAGGGTATCCCAATTTGGGCACTTTTGCGGGGTATCTCCCTTATCAGTAAAGATAGAGCATTGCGGTTTTCGCGACAGTGTGCTACTTTTTTATGAAATTAATAATGGCGCAAGCAGAATTGTAGTAGCTCTTCCGGTTGTCTAGATACAGGGTGGAATTGAAAAATATCACCCCCCGTGTCTCAGTTATCTTTGAACTTATCGAAGAAGTTAAAACCTGTTTTTATAGAGTTTTTCTCGTAGAATCCAGTGGCGTAGTTATTTTTTTGCTAGCACCTTTTGTTTTTTAGTTATGGAGCAAACATATGTTTTTTTAAATGGAAAATAATTGTATACAATTATATATTTTTGGAAAGCCCACTTCATGCTCAATGTATATATGAAATAATATACAGGGTGTTCCATTTGAAAAAACATATGTTTGCTCCATAACTAAAAAACAAAAGGTGCAAGCAAAAAAATAACTACGCCACTGGATTCTACGAGAAAAACTCTATAAAAACAAGTTTTAACTTCTTCGATAAGTTCAAAGATAACTGAGACACGGAGGGTGCCTGAAAAGTGATATTTTTCAATTCCACCCTGTATCTCGACAACCGGAAGAGCTATCACAATTCTGCTTGCGCCATTATCAATTTCATAAAAAAGTAGCACACTGTCGCGAAAACCGCAATGCTCTATCTTTACTGATAAGGGAGATACCCCGCAAAAGTGCCCAAATTGGGATACCCTGTACACGCTATAATTTATTACGTTCGTTCCTCCGTCGTTCGCCGCGTGTGTGCTCTACGTGGCGCTCGAGTCGTCTGCTACAAACCATGCGGCCACGCAGGGTATGATAGCAGCAGAATTCCTCTTTCACATGAACTTTGAATCATGAGAAAATATGCATTTTTAACAAAGTTATTGAATAATTTGTCCCCCCCGCCGATGTGTAAATACACGGACTGTGCTCTCCGGCATACAACACAGAAGCTGATTATTCGAGGTGCGCTTCGTGCCGTTTTTCTCGAAACCGGGCAAATTTTCGAGAAAAATGATAAGGACCATTTTTGTTGAAAATTAACTGAACTTCAATTTTCATCTGAACCGAAAATCTCTAACTGCCATATTTTAGGAGATATTCGCTGAAAACCTATTTTTCTGGTCTTTTGGGGCCATTTTCTCCGCCATCGCACGCGTTTTCCAATCAAACTTTGTCTCATGTTTAATGAGGCACCAAAAGCTACTTCCAACCGGAAGATGAAAATAGTGCGTAATTAACGTTAACTTTGCCTTTTTTCCTCCTTCATTTATTGGACTATCTCGATATAAAGATAGTGTAAGCTTGTCGTGACATACCCTGTATATTTATACAAGGTGATTTTGAAATAAATACATTTAATCAGCACATGGATATAATACAGTATAACGAATATTCCCATGATACCAGATTTTTATCAATTCTTCTAATTAACAATAAATTCAATTCCGAAAATTGAACAAAAAACGAGAAAAAAATCAAGAACGCCACTTTGAAACAATTTAAATGATTGAAACTCGCGTTATTGTTCCTTCCGCACATACATTTGAACTGAGGTGACGTCAGAATTGCTACAGTGTGGAACTTTGGGTAGAAAAAGAGGTCTAACCTCAAATTTCAATTTGATCCCTCTATTTTTGTTATTGGTGCCACTCGATAGTATACGTCGAACTTACACAAGGCTTGAAATATTTGCACTTATTTCAATGCCACCCTGTATATTCACCATGTTCCCTACTATAAACAAATATTGATTCTTGGGAATAATAACGTTGATTGATTAACATGATTTAATATTTCTTTCCACTTCCGGTAGGTGCGCACAAGTTTTCAGTGAAGTAATAAAGATTTTCGTCGGTGCGATCCGAAAGATAAAAAACCCCACTATTTTTCAGAAACAAAATGGATGCAAAAATCGACATTTCACTCGGTTTAAAACAATTTTCCTGGAAAACAAAATTTATGCTAAAATCGATAAATTTCCACTCACCTCGTGCACTGGAGGCACATTATCCTCCGCTCCCTCCTCCTCATCGTCATCCTCATCCTCCTCATCGTCTTTCTTGTCTTCGTCGCCGCCAGCGGCTTCCCTTTCTGCATTGTCTAAAGCCTCTTTGGCTTTCCTTTCGCCTTGAAAAAAGAAGAAGAATCGATGATTAAAATGCTGATGAAGTCATCAAAAATATAAGTAGATTTTTTTCCAACGAACATTCTGATTATTTCAATAGGTGTCACCCTGTATATATTCACCTTCTTGTTGGTCCTTCAGGCCGGCGATGGCCTTTTGCGCGTACTCGACGTCATCGGTGATGAGCACGTGATCGAAGATGGTGCCGGATTTCACCTGCCACAAGTCGAAGCCGATGCCGCAAATTTCCGGCTGTTTGTAGAGATCCGGGACCGGGGAGTATTCGGGGTTGTCGATTTCCGGATGGACCCAAGAACCTAACAAAAAAAATCAATAATTATTAGGATGATTTTCTGAAAAAAAAAAAAAAAATATCGCGAGAGTATTTTTTGTCGAAGGAAACTTGACTATTTCAATGAGAATTTTGTTTCCGGGTAATAAATAAAACGACAAAAATGCCTTCGAATGTTTGATGTTTATATCATGAAAAATAACGATGATCAACTAACTATCAAGACAAATGCATATGACTGTAGATATGGCATACTTTCAGTTTATTCCACCTTGTATTAAATCGTAATGAAGATCAAGATTATATTTTATCACATATCAAATACTTCGATGAATCTCTGATATAAATTATATTCCTCAACTCGAAGATTTATTATTTTTTAACAATAATATTTTTTCTGTGACGGGAAAAAAGTTTGCCATTTCATCTCTGTTGGCAGGTTATAAAATGTCACTTTTCATCGGATATGTATCAGTGATACATATAATATGCATTATTGATGGCTTTTGTTGTGCTATAGTTCTGAAAAATGAGTCAATAATACCGTCTCCGAGAAAGAACTGCAAGTCCTTTTATCTTCCATTCGACTGACAGAAGTGACATCAGATATTTGATTACTTCAAAAGAATGATAAAGATGCCTACAACGCAGGTGTCCCTACTGTTAAAAACTTAAAATCCCACGTCGATAATTTCCAGATTTCAAAATAATGTAATATCTTCTCAATATTGACTTCTGTCACAGAAAAAAATAGTGTATTATACACGGAAAAACTATGAAAAATATTAGATTTCAGCTCACGGTTTTTTGGAGCTAAAATCTAATCTCTTTCCCTTATAAATAACATCTTACTATAGCAATAACATAACTCATTCAAAATAAAAGATAAACTAATATGGATAATACAGAGTCGTAACCGACAACACATGGCATGACAATGATTTTGATACATTGTTTCAATCAATAAATATTCTTTTCCTGGAAACTTCCTTCAGAGAATTTATTATATTAAATAATTAATATTGTGGTTCTACCCCTACAGTAGACATGGGGCTAACAAATAACTGGACACAAATAAAACTGGTAAACAAAATGTAGATCAGTTTTCGGTGTGCCTGTCAGTAATTTGTGTGGTGTGGAGGGGCTTGAAGTATTACGCGCTGTAACAAGATATAAAATAGATCCCGTTTATAAAGGAATGAATTCATTTGAAATAGTAGAGTAAACAAGTATCGATTGAAAATTGAACTTCCTGTTTTCAATAAGAGTGTTTATGCAAACATTTAACAATTATCAATAAACAAGTAACAAGTGAGGAGTTGGCCAACATTATTTCCGAAAATCTTGACCTAATGATGATGTCGGCAACGTCGCACTGTGACATAGGGAATCGTATTTTAACACAGTGTGAATATGGCTTTTCATAAAGTAGATTTTCTGAAGTGGTGTTTGATCTTAGGAAGAAAAAAAATTGAGAAATACGTGTGTAATAAATTCTCACAAACTTCACAGTGAGATATAAACCTCGGTATGGTCAACATTGCCAGTTGAATTTCTGCCAAATCGTGCTCGAATTGAGGCAGGTTCGCCTAACCACCTGCACACCACCATACAAAGTCCCCGTCCGCATAGATAAACGACCTATGAGCATCTATAAGAAAAACTAAAAACTAGACACTGCTCAAATACTGATTGAAATCGCGAATGATTTACCTTTGTATGCGGGGTTGTCGATCTGTTTAGGTTTCCATTCGCCCTTGTATTCCGGATTGTCGATCATCGGTGGTTCCCATTCGCCGTCCATCTCGTCGTCCCAATCGTCGGGTTTGGTGGCATCAGGATCGGGAATGTGTTCGGGCCTGGGAAAAATAGTTCAAAATTAACATTTGCTTTTGAGGAAGGGAGGGAAAGTTTCCTTCCGATGAATTTTCATAAAATAAGTTCGGAACTCTCCCGTTTTATGTCCACGCTGTACAAAATGGCGACCGATAAAGTCCAAGTCGTTTTCATTTTCAAATTAAAGCAATTCTATCTTTCGGGTCGGCAAACTATGACGTACATTCTGAATCTAGTCTGAAAATAGCTGATGAAAACCGAATGAAAAAAATAGAAGAAGTAAAACTGGTAAACAAAAACATGCATAACCACAAATGCACTCGGAGCAGGAATGCACAGGGTAGTTGGCTCCATTCTGACAGGCTATGGTTTTGTTATTTATGCATTGAAATATCTTGAATAGAGCTCGATCCTTAATCGAAAATATCATTGAATCAATGAATCACTATCGGCTACATTCAATGATACTATACTTCCTAATTTACTGTCATCGGTCAGAACAGAATGAAGCCGACACCCATGGCACCTTCCTCTTGTTATGCCTGTCAGTATTTTGAGTGGTGTGAATTCAAAAAGAAAAAAAATATCCACCTGTCCCAGTCTTCGGGTTTGGAGTCCTCCGGATCGGGAATGGTGGCGCGGTCGTCCCAATCTTCCGGTTTCGAAGCTTCCGGGTCCTTGATCTTCTTGGGCGGCAGCAGATCCCAGTCGGCTTCCAATTCGCCGCTTTCAACTTTTTCCCCGTCGATTTGCACTTCGTACGTGTTGTCCGGCCTTACGATGAGGGTGTACGCATGCGTGTACACGTCGTCCTTAATAATTGAGAAAATTATGGTTTTTCTCATTTTTCATTCTCTCATCTAAATATTGTTCATCCAATCGATACGTATTGCAGTCGATTGGTTTTTTTAATCAGATCTCCCACAACGAGTGGCAACACTGTGAACGATGCCTCATTGGATAGCGCTGGTTACAGTTCCTAAATGTACTTGACACTGCTGTTTTGACGTTTTTTGTATATTAGAGTAGGGACGCTAGACAAGCAGTGACAATCAAACATAAAACCACAAGCGATTTTGAAGCAAATCATATGTTTTGCCAGACAAGGTCAAGAATATCGTCGACGAAACCGCAAAACCAAGTAACTGCAAAAACCAAAATTTCCAGGAGACACTAAAAACTTTATAATTTCAGGTTAACTGATCAGATTCAATGAAAAATAGTAACAAACCACCTGATTATTATTATCCTTACGTTTGTACATTGATCATTGGAAAAAGTCATTGTTTATGTTTGTCAGCGTAAGATACTTGGTTTTGACATCTGCTTCTGTGCGAAAGCAACAACAATTATTCAGAAAAGTAATTCGGAAAAACACGTAACACGTTTCTGGGCTTTCCGCTTAAAAAATACTTGAGATAAATTCTCACATCCTGTGTTGAAGTACCAATTGAAGTTAAGAATTTACTGTTATACATATCTGTTCTAAAAAAAGTCACTCACCAATTAGCAGAGATTAATCTCTGTGAAAAGAAATTGAACACAAAATATCAGAGGCGTGAATCACGTTGCCAACGGTTAGATACTTGTTTTTGACGACCCCTTTTATTTTGTTTTTCAGATAAGGGGTTTTTGTATTTATGGATTTCAAAATATTTACAATTTTTTACCAGTTGTGAGGTTTCGCATACTCATCCCCACCAATATGATAGACCGATTGCCGCCAGAATCCCATTTTCGAATTTTTGTCACGTTACTTGGTTTTGCGGTTTCGTCGACGATATGTTTTTCGCTTCGATAAAGGATCCTCGCATCTTCCTTCCTTCACAAGTCCTGAGGGGAGAGTACATCCATATATCTTTCTCTGTCTTTGATTTTTGTATAAGAGTGCATAGCGTCTCCTCGAGTGGGTAAGAGGGTACGATAAATTGATTAGATAATTAGTTCTTCTCGAAATATTGAATGATAAGCTGAAGAACCTCAATGGAGGTCGATATTAAGTTGGTATGTACATATATACCAACGAAATACATATATTTTTCCTGTGAAATAAGGTATATATTCAAAATATCGGGTTGGAAATTTATGTTCGAAATTCGTCTATTCAGAGTTCGCAGCGATGGAAATTCGTATTGAAATTTCAATAAATTATTGTAACCAGGTGAACCACACGTGAATTCGATCACCAACGCTTTTTTCAAACTTCTTGCATCCCATCTGTTACCATTGAATTTTGAATTTTAAGATGAATCATGCTCATAAAAAGCAACATTTTTACTAATATTTTTCAATTTGTTATTCAAATCTTCCATTCGGTTTTTCAAATGCAAAATTTTTTCATAGTATTGTTCATCGAAACTATGAATTTTGCTCAAAATTGCTTGCTTTTTCAATTTTCTTGTATTTCTCTGAAGATATCTGCTGATTTTGTTTCAAATCTGAAATAATTTTTAGGTAATACATAGTTCTGAATTTCGCTAACTCTGACTTTTGTAACTAAATCATTTTGCTTTAACTCATCTTCCAACTCTCTAAACCTTGGATTTTTGAATATTCCTGCTCTAAAAATTCGATTCTCAAGTCTTTTTATTGCAAAATATGTTCGAAATTGATTTCATTATCTGCAAGTTCTCCGGTTCTTGTTGGTTCTGAAGTGGAATAAGGTTCTTTTTGATACTCGCTCAGTTTATAAACTGTGGGTTCGGCTCTTTCTCCCAATACGCTATTCTTCAACATCAAATCTTCCGTTCTGATGTGTACCTGATAAAAATGCGTTGAAAAATTGTCTATATCCTACCAAGAAATTTGAATACCTCGCAAATGTTGTGGCCTAAAACTATATTCCATGCCGGCCGCATCATACTCTGTTTCCATTCTTGTAGAATTACGTTACCCGATGGAAATTCGAATAGAGTGAATTGATTTGCCGTATTCTCAGTTGGAAACTGCGCATTGTATCTATCTCCTAAGTCTCTCAATTTGTCAAACCTTTGAAATATATGCCAAGTACGTCCGTGTACTGCCAGTCCCGCATTTTCCATCAATTTATTTGTGGTTATGTCTGATTGTCAGTGCTTGTCATAGTGTCCGTTATATACAAAAAAAAACGTCAAAACAGCAGTGTCAAGTAGATTTAGGAACTCTAGCGCTGGTGTGAGTTGAGAGATTTGAAACTTTTCTGTACTACAGCATTGGAACTCAGTTTAGTAATAATATTATTTCTACTCACAAAGAGAATATACTTGTGGAAATCTCCCACAACCTATATATCATGAAAAAGTATGGCATTTGGCAACATGGCAGTTACCGAGCGTTGCCCGGTATACCTTTTTTGCGGTAAATCCACCGACTTATAATGGGAACTACAGATTTATTTTTTATACCACGACAGACCCTCACTATTGGTCAATAGTAAATGGAGATTATAGAGATAATGACTCCAGAGGCGTACCTGTTTCTTTCTGGAAAGGTCAAAAATGAGAAGCTGATCCAGATATTATCTGAAAGTGAGATTTCAGGAGCGTACCGATTTATTTAGGTGGTCTTGAATCAGTTGAAATTATGAGGATTCTCCAAATTAAGTAAAAGGAGAATCAAGATGAAATCATTGGCGTATCATTTTTTTTTATTGAGAACAGAAATGAAGATTGTCTAATTTTGAAATTATCATAACTATCCGAAATTGTAACTTCACGAGCGTAACGATTCCTTATCTCGGGGGATCTGGAATCAGAATTGAAATTATGTGATTTTTTTATGAAGATTCGAGATTGTGACTTCAGAGGCGCTCATAATTTTTTCTATGGGAGTGGAAAATCAATATTCGAAGTATGAGATTGCATCAAATTAGGTCAATAAAGAATCTGGATAATGACTGCCAATTTTTTTCTGAAGGGGTCAGAATAGAAAAAGACGGATTTCGAAATTTTATCAAATTTATTCGAGATTGAAACTTCAGGTGAGTGATGATTTTTTTTAGAGGGGAACTGAAATGAAAATTATTGCAATTATGAGATATCATTAAATTAAATCATGACTCCAGAGGCGTGCGAATTTTTCTCCTGTGGGTTACAAAAACGAATAAATCGGAATTTCTTGAGGGGGCCTAAAATGAAAAAAAGCCCAACATTTTGATATTTCAAAAGCCATTATTCAAAATTGTGACCTCAGGCGAGGCTCCGGGCTTTCTCAAAAGGTCTGAAATACAATTTAAATAATGCGATTTCTGGAAATAAGGTCAATATAGAAACGAGATCATGACTTCTGAGTTGTACCATTTTTTTTTTCTGGAAGTTGATTATTGAAAATACAAAACTTCGAAATTTCATCAACATTTTCCGGAATTGTGTAATTCAGTAACATACCGATATATCTTTTCAGGGGGTCTATTAGTAGAGTTATAATTTCTTTGAATGATTAAATCATTAGAGAATCGAGATCATGCTCTCAGAGACGTAGGTACGCAATTTTGTTTCAGTTCGAAATTGAAACAATAACAAAATATTCCTCAGCTTCAATAAAAATGGTGAAATTCAGGGGAGTACTGATTTTATTCACAGGGGGTCTAGAAATCCAAGTTAAATTCAGGAGATTTCCTGGAATACCTACTTGAGCCAATAAATAATAAAGTTCATGACATCAAAAGTGTAGGTACCCCATTTCACAAAGAAGGTCAGATTCAAAAAATCTGAATTTAAAATTTTCATCAACATCCATATTATCCGTTATGTGACTTCAAGGCCGTGCCGATTTTTATAGGGCTTATAGAATGAAAGTTGAATGTATTTCAGTGGGGTGCCAATTTCTCTCTGAGAAGGTAAAAATAAGAAAAAATCAATAATTCCACTAACAGTATCGAAAATTGTAACACCAGGAACGTACCGATTTTTCTTGGGTGGTCAAAAATAAAAATTGCAGGAATAACTCTGAAATTCCGAACGCTTCTCACCTTGCACCTGATATCCTTGTTTATCAGCACGTTCTTCTCGTTATGGTTGATGATGACGTGAACCTTTTTGGTTCCGGGCCCGCAAATATCGGGACCGAACATAAGCCTGTAGGGCGAGTCTCCATGCATCTCTTCCGAGTTCAAGGAGCAGTCGAAAACTTTGACGTATCCGCCGCCGCAATCGATGTTTTGTTCATGTTTGACAGTGAATTGGACGACCAAGTCCTTGCCCTCTGTCGAGAAAGGCGCGAACTTCCTGCTGAGCGCGTAGAAACGAGCGTCTTCCGATGTCTGGATGCCTATCAGAAGAAAATTCGACCTCAAAATCCGATTTTTACAGGTTTTATTCTTTATAGAAACATGACTGTATCACCCTACAACCATACAAATACAGTTCACTATCAATCAAACATCGCACATATTGGTCCTTCGAGCCGGATCTATTCAAATCAAACCTTCAAGACTTGATAAAAAATGACTACATCCATACATTTCATCAATAAATAATTATAAAACTGCATAGGTGATTGTTCAACAAAAAAATCGTGATTCAACCCGTTCAGCTTGAAAAGTATACAGGAATCTCGGTTATCTTGAAAGATACGATGTTGCTCAACTCACGACAAAGTTGCGCATTCTGGTGCTGATCAATAATCTGAAAAGAAATCTGACCTATCTTCCTCGGTCTTCAAGATATTGCCGAAAAATTGAATTATGTGATATTCGTAATTTTGCTACTCTCTATATAGTTGAAAAATAACGATAATTTAGGGTGGCTGACTTTATTTTTCCGGTGAGTGTGTTTGTCCTGATGATATGACATTTAAAATTATTGTCATCTAGTGACATAACTCTGAGTTTGTTTTTCTAGTCATTAGTAGGTAGCTTGTTTTGTAAATTTCTCAATGATGTCAGGAATTTATCGGCAATATAATATTCACAGCTGGTGATGATTGATGATAAAAGATTAAATCAGTGGAATCTGATAGTGAACCACAAAATAGATGGCGCTGTAGTTAGTAAAGGGGTCATGCCTAATGTCAATCCAGCTGTCAGCTGTCAATCTTTGTTTATTATTAAAAAATAAGAAATTTTTTTCACAAAAAGTAATCAATACTTGATTGTTATATTGAATGTCATAATGTTGTATTATCATGTCTTTTTGCTTTTCTAGAAGATCTGGAATCATCACAACATACAGATATGGGTACTTCCTAACCTCACTATATTTTTTTCTCCATGGATGCTATTTATTTTACAATTTAAACAATCGATCATAAACAGATGACATTTAATGTTAGCGTCATCACAAAAAATCATATACTTTCAGTATGAATAAAGGGAGTGATAAACCAATTTTTTTATTATAGGGAAAAATGACTATTCGATATTTAGACAGTTTTTTAGTAAAAAAAGCAGGATTGTGTGAATAGTAGGTACCTTTTTAAGTGGGTATAAATTATATAAATTACCTTTGTTTTCTTCATCGCTGAAGAATTTTCCGGCAGTCCTTACGAATTTTCCAAACTCTTTTCCTGGATGTTTGCTGTACACCCAGTTTTTCTCCCAAGTGTCTGCGAAAAAATAAAAAGCCTTTTTTAATCTCGCCTTATACATATACACACACACCTTCACCATTACGATCTTTCCCTGGACCTCTCAAAACCGGCAGGGCCTAACCCGCATTTCTACACCGAAAAAAGAACTGTTTCGCTACTCACCATCGTCGAAATTTTCTTCTAGGTACACGGAAGCTTGCACTGCGTAAAGATACGCAAAAACCACCAACGCAGCAAAGTACTTCATTTTGAAAAATCTGATAGATCGCTCCGACACGTCAAACCAGCAAATCGTTCAATTCACAAATACCGAAAAACCCACAATGAGAAGGGTATATACTCCCAGAAATACGTAACTATCTCAGACAGCCGCTCTATCTTCCATCTCACTCTTTCGCACGTAACCAGCTTCGGCGCTACAGCGCCGTACGTCTCCCTAACCGGATTGACCCGACAGATGGAAGCTTCTCATTGGTCCAACACCTTGATGACTCCGAACGTGGCTCGCTTTGTCTTGCTCGCGTATTTTCAGGTTTCCACAACGTCATGAAGACGTGAAGGACGTTTCAGGTGATACGGTTTACTACAGCTGGACGCACGCCATTGGTTGATACTACAGGATACGTGTGGCGGGTACTTAGCCGTATTTAAATTTGCGTTGCCTATCGTTTGATAAGATAAGTGAATGTATAGTTGCATAATCCATGCTTGTTATCATTCCAAGTGGGGCTTTTGAATAATAATTTACACCTAGTGCTGGCCTATATGGTTAATTACTAGAGATAAGATGGTTTATTGGTTGAATAAAGGATTAAGCAGCGTTTGATATTTTTTTCACCTCATCCCCCGAAAAAATTATGATTGATTATTGACTAAATACTAAATATAGGTGCTAGCTATGCGGGTCTAACGTGAAATATACGCCTCATAATTCAAGGAAAAGTATGAAGTTCAAGAATACCTACACAATGAACCAAAGTTGATCGCGCTCTGTATTATTTTGAAAGTAAAAGTGAATTGGTTCATAAACCCATCACCTGATAAAAGTACCTAGGTATTGAATAATTTCATTCTATTGCAGATCAAGTCTTTATACAGTTATTGTTATATCACACACGTAACAATAAGGGTGAGTGAGTCAATGAAATCATTTTTGTATTTGTTTCCGTGATTCGAATAGGATAAATGATTCTTTCCATGAACGATATACAGAGCTGAAGAAGTAGTTTACCTTGAATCGAAGCCATCGTCAAATGACTTATTTAATAATACTGTTATAAAGTCTTTATGTTACTGCAACTGTTTCATGCTTATAAAGATGAAGCAATGAGTAGCGCAATGATCTTAAATGTGAGTTTTCATCAATAACTGTTTTGTTATTTTCGATTGAGGAATAGATTTTATTGTGAATCATGAGAAAATATAACGTTTTATATTGTATAGGTACCTAGCTATACCTACTTATTCACTCATATTGATCAGGTGCTTTTAGGTACCTTTTGTGTGTGATAGCTTTTAGATCGGCAACGAAAAAATATATACTAGAGCAGTGCTGACTTTCTAAATCGTGAATAATTTACTGAAAAGGATGTGAATTCACATTTGGCAATTCGAATTTCCTTCAATTGCAGACAAAAGAACATTATTCTGCATTCATTGTTTTTGTTTCTTTTGTTATGCACCTTTGCCTATACGGGACTTTCACATTTTAGTGTGGCCGAAAAGTGAATAAGTGTTATCCTCGTTATTCCAGAATAATGAACAATGTCTTCAATGAACGAACGAAAAATAAAGGACGTTCGCGACATCTGGGGCGGTGAATCGGACAATAAGGAAAACCCTGTATTGTCCCTGGACAACAATGCAGACAACAGGACGACGAAGCACAAGTACAAGACTCTGGAGAGGCACCTCAGCATGAAGAAGACCATCAGGAGGAAGATGATGCGGGATTTGCACGAGATCGGAGATGGCCAGCAAGAAGACAACACCCAGTGCGTCACTGCGGGGTTTTTGGAGCAGATCAGGAATGATCAGCCGGTGCCTGCCAATATTGATAAGCCGAGTTTGTGGAAAAGGTTGACGAAAGGTTGGGGACATTAGTATTAAAATCGCTTTAACAATTATATGTCTGTATGTTTGTTTTTCGGTGATATTAACGATTTATTTATAGACATATATAATGAGTTCCAGATTGCAATTTGATATGCACAAACTTGTATCTAATTAACTGATAATTTTGATGATTCTAAGGATGATAATTGTATAGTGATATATAGATATTAGACCCTGTAGGCTGTATAATAAGGTAACTATATGACTTAACTTTATGAATACCTGTCACTTTATAAAGTATTATTTTTGAGACTAAAATCAGATATTATAATTAATTCCACGTTCCTGAAATTTAAGATTTTATACAGGGTGTCTGTAAAAGGTTTTTACAGAGACATGCCACATATTCCTTAGACCAAAATAAGTCGATTTAAGTAAAATTACCTCAGTACAAAGTTGCATCGTTTGGGCTCCAGAGGGCCTTGAAGTTACAATTTTTAAATCGTTTTTCCCATAAATTCAAAACAACATATACGATTTTGCTGAAATTTGGTATATTGATAGAATTTCAGGTGGCCAAAAAATTGTGTCAAAATTTTGTCCGATAATAATACATAGGCGTAGAACTTGATTTTTTAAATAATTGCACCTTTAAAAATTCTACGCCAATGGAAGAAAAGGGGTTTGAGTATGAATTTTGGATTGGGTACTCAGTTACTACAAAAAAGTACCCTTGATGACACTCGATTTACTCTCATGGTTCTGACAAAGTTTGTATTTTAATAATTATTGTTTATGTTCTAAAATTACTAAAATGCAAATTTCGTCAAAACCATGAGAGCAATCGAGTCTTATCACGAGTACCTTTTTCAAAGTAAATGAGTTGCGCAATCTGAATTTCATACACAAACGCCTTTTCTTCCATTGGCGTAGAATTTTTAAAGGTGCAATTATTTAAAAAATCAAGTTCTACGCCTATGTATTATCATCGGACGAAATTTTGACACCATTTTTTTTGTCACATAAAACTCTATCAATATAACAAATTTCAGCAAAATCGTATATGCCGTTTTGAATTTATATGGGAAAAACGATTTAAAAATTGTAGCTTCAAGGCCCTTTGGAGCCCAAACGATGCAACTTTGTACTGAGATAATTTTACTTTAATCGATTTATTTTAGTCTAAGGAATATGTGGTATGTTTTTGTGAAGACCTTTTACAGACACCCTGTATATACCAGAGAATATAATATGATACCTATACCTGGATATCTCTCTGGTGAGTCTATAGAGTAGGTATAAATTTACTATCAAAAAGTTCTATGTAGGATTGTGTATTCATTTTACTCAATGTTTTTATGCTTTTTGATATATTTTAGAATGGCATCCCATATATTTCGGTGCATTTTATATGCCGGTGATTTCTGGATTTTCGCAATACTAAAAAACTTCAATGAAACCATCATTATCTTTTCTTCATCGGTCTTTTCATCTGCTTTAATCAATATTTGTTGAAATTCTATGATATTTACTGATAAGAAATTATAAATGAGTGTATAGACACAATGAAAACAATTTGATCGCCCTGATGTGCATATGTGTTTTTGCAAACATATTTGGTTCTGACTATTCGATATACAGGGCGATTCCGGTTTTGAGGTACAAACTGAAATGGGTAATTGATCAAAGAAGCTTATATATGAACACGAGTCTGATCTCGATCAGTAGCGAAGCTACAATAGGAGTTGAAATTTAATTATTTTTTTGTAATAATGAATATCTCGCTCACTTCTGAAAACACAATATGCGATTTGATATTTGGTGTGGTTATTACTTCTTAAATGATCATCATTTCAAACATGTTGAATATTTTTAATATTTACAGCTAGAGTGTAGAAGTTCAAGGTTTTTTTTTAGTTTTCAAAGTTGGTTATTCATTCTTTCCGATAGGTTGAATGCCATATTATATTTGAATTGGTTTGATGATATTATTCAAATTGGAAAGAAATATAGATACAACTGGATGAAGCTCAACCATTGGTTCAACACAAATTTTCCGCGTTCGTTGGATTGGTCATAGCTCATATTTTTATCGAGATCGGACTGATGTTTATACAAACTTTCATAAAATGATGGCCCATATTCCGGTTTCTACCTTTAAACATGAATCACCCTGTATATACTTACCATCAGATTATTACCTATATTATTGTTTTTGTTTGATAAATAATAACTGTATACTCTGTATTCACTCTGTTGTTTACTATTATACAATGTTAAAATATACTTCCCGTTGCTTTACCTTTTTGTCATAGTTTTTATACCTACCGGCGATATGAAAATGAATACTATATCATTTTGTTGTCACCCACATAGCTCTCAAGCGATGAATATTGTTAATTATAAGGTTATTCAACACTTTTTGTTGATTCCAATGAATCAAGAAGCAATACAATGCATATAATTATGATCAACAGGTGTTTATTCGGTTAGTTGAGTTCGAACTTTTAATCAACAAGCACATTAACCCACATATTTCCGTAGGTAATCTTTTTATAACTGCTTAATTATTCAAAAAAATGGTCGTAAAGAAATAATATCTCGAGTGGGTAGTTCATTTTAAATTATTGTCAGCAGTCTTCTTCCTCAAAAATCACCAAGGAAGCAATTTCAGATCATTGATGATGGAATTGGCCGTTTGATGCTTGATTTATTAGTATTCTGAAGAACATTCCAACACGGATTCCTTAAATTTTTTGTAACTCTATCGAATAAAATGATGAAAGCGGAATTTCCAAGTGAAGGTTATATTTTCGCCAGCGGACGTTGCGTCACATGCAAAAACTACAGCGGACTTTTAGCCACAACCAAAAAACTGACAAAAGACAGAAATAAACAAATCTCAACAGAGTTCATAATTATTGATTATAAATTATATATTTATGAATTTATATCAATTTTTTTTGTTCAAATTAGTTTTACAAACTCACATTTGTCGTTCACATTGAAATTATTGAAATACCACTCATGTCAAAATTTACTGGCTGCAGGACCTTGGTCGATAGCCTTTGGTTGTAATTTTATAACAAATAAAGAGCATTTCTTTATTATTACTATTATTATTCATAATAATTGAAGAAGAAAAACTTCAAATACAAAAGTTTTGTGCCTAAAGTTTTCTTCTATCTCCAA